TTTATAAACAGAGATGTTGTTGCTCCAAAGAGGCTGTGGCACAATCTGAACTACTACAAGAGAGGATTCTGGTGGGCATGCACAGAATTTTGTACACATCCAGCTCTGCTGCACAACAGGATATCCACACTTGTTTAACTTAACAGTTTAAAAAGCAGCAGCTCACGGGCTAGGGTTGTAGCTCAGTGGTAGAGCACTTGCTTTGTGCCTGTGAGGCCCTGGGATCGATCCCCAGCATCCCCAGCACCACATAAAAATAAACAAATAAAAATAGAGACATTGTGTCCATTTACAACTAAAAAAATAAGCAGGAAGATCCTGGGTTCAAAGCCCAACCTCAGCAAAAGTGAGGCGCTAAGCAACTCAGTGAGACCCGTCTCTAAGTCTCTAAATAAAATACAAAATAGGGCTGGGATGTGGCTTAGTGGTAGAGTGCCCCTGAGTTCAATCCCCAGTGCCAAAAAAAAAAAAAAGCAAAAACAAAACAAACACATAGGTGACTATTCTGAACTGGGGAAGCTACAGGAGGCTTACCAGGAATCCATTATATCTTTGTAATAGTAATTTCAAAAAATAAAATAAAGTATAAAGGCTCATTGAGGAATATGGTAAATGATGAATTTGTGTAAAACTAACAATGACAACCAATAAAAACACCAAAACCAAAACCAGGAACAGATGATAACTATCAAGAATGGACCAAGGGGGAAAATAGACCAAGACTGCGTGCCACAGAAGAGTCCCTATGCCGTGGAACCTTGTCCTTCTCAGCAAAAACGAGCAGCAGAGGGAAGGGGAGTTAAGGCAACGCAACCCCCTAAATACGCTCCAGTGCCTCACGTGCATCAGATGGTTTCAAGGAGGACTATTTCAAGCCAGGGCCATACTGTGAGAACCAGTGAGGGCCATTTGAGTCAGCACCCTCTCCCACTGAGGAGCAGAGACCAGGGGGAGGGGCTCTGCCAGGTCAGTGAGGTGCTGCCTCACAGACGGTGGGGCCAGACCCCAGTCCAGTCCCTGAGAACAGCCCCTGGGTGACAGGACCACGGGTGCAGGCTTGTGCCCAGCACAGGTTTCATCCAAAACAATGTCAGCTCAAGACTTTTCCAGGTAAAGAGCCCAATCTAGCTAAAGGCACTGTGATGATGACAATGACACTGAAATGAGAACCGCCTCCAAACAATCTGGCACGGCAAACTGTTGGCCCTATGGGCCCACGTGAAGGCTCACAAGGAGCAGAGCACCAGGCCTGGAGGTGCGGCCTGACAGCAGGGGGCGGAAGGCGAAGGATGCAGTTTTCTTTTGACTCATCTGCATTTTTGAGTTTTCTGCAACAATATTTAGTGCCTTTACATGAAGGAAACAAACAATCCACTTGGCTGACTATGATGTCATGGCTGAAAACCTCTTTGTTCACAGTCATCCTTCTTAGAAACCCTGAGAGCAAAACTCTGCTGTGTGCGGCTGTTACCTTATCATTGTTTATTTCCAGGGGCTCCTGAGAGCATGGACCAGAACCACTGAGGTAATCTTGACACAGTTTCTTAACCATGTTATGCAACTCTTCAAATTCCTTATACACGGCTGGGAAAAAAGGCTTTGCCAGATGACCTTTCTCAACCTTCGTGAAGATAAAGATGACAAAAAGAGTTTAAACCTGAGGCAATGGTGTAGAAAACACAGAAGGAAAAAAAAAAAAAAACCTAAAGAGAGAAGGACACGGGTTCCTCAGCCCTAGAAATGGCTGATGGCGGCGCCTCCTTCTCCCCTCAGGGAGTGCCTGCTCTGTGTTGGCACTGTGCCCAGCCTGGGGAGGCCAGGATGGGCCTGGGAGGAGCTGACCAGAAAACACACACCCCTTGGCTTGATGGCCGCAGAGCCCTGAGGGTGGGGAGGTGAGGGAGCAGAGGGGAGGCAGGAAGGCCTGGGGACAGGCTGGCCGCCAGCCCCTGCGCGCATGTGCAGCTCTGGGGATCGCAGCAGCCTCTGTGGGAAGCATGGGGMGCAGGCAGGGCTGCATCTGCAGGGCTGCGTCTTCAGAGGTGGTACAGAGAGCAGAGCCCCAAGTAGGAAGCCAGCCAGGTAGGATGGAGACCTAGCCACAGTTGCTGCTCCCACTGTCACTCTCCCACACAAAGTTAAACAATCAAGAGAGTGACAAGCGGCATGCCTAAGATTCCCCACCAGACAGACACTGGCCCTGCACCAGGCACTGGCGCTCACTTCAGCCCTGTCCTGGAGAAGGGAAGGATTCCACATGGCCTAGGTCTTCCCCAAATACACAGCAAGGATGTCCTCCTGCATGACTTCAGAGCATCCCCTCTGTGGTTCGAGGCTCCACCAAGACTCACCTTCATCAGAAGGAATTCATACACGGTCACAACCTGAGCCAGCTGAGGCAGCGCCAACTCCACCAGATCCTTCTGGTCACAATGCTGCAGACACTGCCAAAAGAAAGCATTTGCCACCTCTAAAGACCATAAGAATTTCCCAACAATCAGCAAGCTGGTGCATCGTACAAGGAAAAAGTTCTCCCCAAACCTGGCAACTCTAAGCTACATTCCACTTCATTAAGCATCTCACTTGTTCACCCATTAACAAAGTGCTGTGGTCAATTCTGGTTTCAATGTTTGAGTCCCACATGACAAGCACTGGGTTCTGAGACAAGGCCCAGGAGTAAGGACATGGCTCTGGGGAAATGTGTGAGCTTCCTTCTACTGTGGAGGAAGCTCACAGAAATGCAAAGTCTGGAAGCTACAGAGGTTAGTGCTTCATGGAGTGAAAGGACAGAGAGATATCCGTAGGTAGCACCTGGGACTGACAGGCAGGCCAGCCAGGCTGCGAGGGCCTGAGGGTTTGTATTTCCTTCCAAAGGCAGAGTATGGAGGGAGGTTTCAATCAGGTCCCTAAGTGGCAGTGCAGGGAACAGAGTGGGAGGTGGGTGAGGACCCAGATGACAACAAGGGTGTGGGCAGGAGGGACAGGGAAGGCATAGTCCGCCAGACTTGGGGTCACTGGACATGGGAAGGGTGAATGAAGGGGAAAGAGACAAGAAAGCAGGCTGGGGATGTGGCTCAAGCGGTAGCGCGCTCGCCTGGCATGCATGCGGCCCGGGTTCGATCCTCAGCACCACATACCAACAAAGATGTTGTG